TAAAGGAGTGCATCGGCCCGGGGTCGAACCCCGGACCATGTGCATGGTCGGCGAGCGTCCTAACCGCTATGCCACCGACGCACAATCACACTGATATGTGTAACTTTACATAGTCACAATTATTACTTAATTCCACATAATAACGAAGGATATTTAAGGTGATAACCCGTTTCAGAAGATGACTACTTAAGTTCACAAAGTGGGATTTTGTCTAACCCCATAACCACCTTTCATGTTGAGCTATACAGAGTAAGCAACCGACGGAAGACACCTATTTTTGAAAATCTTTTGATCACTTCATATACTTTACTTTCAGCAGCCATATCTCGCATGTCTTTCAACAGGTAGTCGGATATCATATATATGTGTCAAAAAAAAACAACGAGAATTAGTATATGATAAACGAACCTTTTGCAACTGTGCTGAGAATTCATCAGAAATCATCCTACTGGGTGGGTATGATGCACCACCTTTCTGGATACTTGAGGTGTTCAACCCTATGCCTAGCCTACTCTGATTTTTGCTTAGTGTTTTAATGTGATTCCTCTTATTGGTAGTGTTTTTGTAACGACAGAAGGCAAGAGTCAGGCAACAGATCATTTATTAAGGAAATCAACGCATATTTATATATGTTTTCATGTACATTACTATGGATATGTAAACAAACAAACACAGTCTTCCGATTGGTTGTTTCTCACGACAAATCTTGGGAACGTAAATATTGACGTAAATTACTGTCTACCAATTTGGCTAGTAGACAGCTCTCACCACATTTTCACTTAAAATGACTAAGTTATCTGCTTACACTAAATCAATGACGCCTTTGCATGATGACAAGTCAATCAAAACATCAAAGCGACCACATTCACCTCTGTCAGTATCTGCTGTAAAATAATAATTATAAATGACAGTATGTCTCTGCGTTTGTTCAAATAAAATTGTTTTATTATAGAATTATACTCTACAACAGTGTCCAAATTCAATTATTATATTTGAACAAAGCAAGAACTACAGTTTTAGCAGAATAAAATGGTACCACCTTTTATTTCGTTGCCTTCTCGTCAGCTGATTACAGGGCAAACACATTATTAAATGTATCTACAAAACAATTTTAACATACTTGCACAGAGTTCATTTTAAACAAAAATCAATCGATCAATATTCGCATACACTAATATATATATATATATATATATATATATATATATGCAATATTAAACACAATTCCGAACAATAATAATCATACACAATGAAAACTTTTCAGCATCTCGCATTCGGATGAAAAATATCCAGTTATCAGGGCAAATAAAGACTGATAACCGCTTCTTGCTGAACGCACAAATCAGGTTTCAGGCGCTTGATGGAAATGGCTCTTTTGCTTATTGGTAATTTTGAACAACTTTTCAACGTCCACCTCATGACCCGTGTCGAGGAGATGCCTGGAGATGGATGGCACTATTTAAAGCATTTGTTCCCTTTAGACGTAAGCTTCTTGGTACATGTTCAGAAAATCGTAGATATGCCCTTCTTTCTGTTCTTCCAATGTAACTGCTCCCGCAGATACATTTAAATTTGTATATACAGTTGGAGTTAACATGAAAAGGATATCTATCGATTTTTGATTGCATCAAAGAGCAAGTTGTTCGGTAGACGGGAACGAGCTTAGCTGCAGGATAGGCTATGGCTACTGATATGCTCAGCCTTCTGTTGATCATCACTGCAATGTTTTCGCCTTTAAAATCAAGTTCAAAGTAGATTGGCTTTTTTCCTACTGTGATTTGTTTTTCATTTGTGACTTCAGATCTTCCATACTTGTTGATGAACCTTTGAGGGTACCCATTGCTCTTCAATGTCTTTTCAAGAAACTAAAATTCTTCCTCTGATTTCTCTATAGAGCATATTCTCCTCGCTCTATAATACAGAGTCTTGACTAAACCACGTTTAAAGGTATTCGGACAAAAGCTATTAAAATGTAAGTATTGTCCTTTCCATGTGGACTTTCGATAAATTAACTTTTGAAGACTACCGTCTTCTAGGCGTTCCATGGCGATGTCGAGGAAGTGGAACTTCCCGTCACTTTCATGTTCCATAGCGAACTCAATATTGGCGTGTGCATCATTGAATAATATTAGTAAGTGTGAAGCATGACTTTCATTTTTGCACACTATAAATGTGTCATCAATGTATCGACACTAGGAAGTTGTTTCATCGATTGCATGCTTCAACTTTGTTCTTTCAAGATTGGACATGAATATATCTGCTAAAACAGGGCTAAGTGAAAATGAGTCAGCTTCTCTATTTGGACACTAAAACTACACACTAATATGCCAATCTCAGCATTTTGCTTACAGTAGCAAAATAGACGTCTGATAAATTTGTTTACCATTAATTAGGAGAAGGCATAATCAATCGAATACCACCACGTTTCTTTTTTCTTAAGGTCTTATTCAGAGGGACAGCAAAACAGACGACTCTGTCTATTGGGATCCAATTGAATTGCAAGTTTTCTACCATCAACTTGAATACTGTCCCTGTAGCAGTAAATACATGAGAACTGGCCAAGAAATTCCCTGACACCAAGTGAATTTTTTACATTCAATGTTGGTCAAGAGGGGTTAAGTCAAAAACTGTACTTGGATCTTTTATACGTGTGTCTCAGAGGTATAACATATACCCAAACACAGGGAGTCCAAATTTTGGTTATCGACGTCTGTTGTCTGCACCGGACGTGGAAAGCTGTGATATGAAATTGGCAGTGTGATATCAAAAAACTATGAACAGTGAGTGGTCTTCTGGCTCAAACACAAACTGTCTGGGGAGTAGTAAAAGAAGTAAGAGAAGACCCTGCTTATGAAGATGAGATAGTGCTTATGAGATTGCGGGCAGTTGCTGCTTCTCATAGCAAAGAATTTGATTTCTTTCAGTACTAAAAAAGGTACACCTACTTGATACGGATGGATGGAGTTTCGTCTTTACAGTTCTTATCCCTATATAGTATATCGGGGTTAATAATTTTTGGAACTAACTTTTTCTAAACCCTCCTGCACAAAGCAGATAAACAGCTTAGTTGGCTTACTTGTTATGTGGTGAGAGCTGGCTGCTAGCCAAAGTTGGTAGACAGTAATTGACGTCAATGTTTATGTCCCCAATATTGGTGGTGGGAAAATGAGAACAAAGGCTTTGCGTAGGCGGATACAGTTAGCATAGGGATGATCTGACACAGCCACAAAGAGATACAAGGTTAACTTTATGTGAGAAACAACCAATCAAAAGACTGTATTTTCTACTAACAATAATCTACAATAATGTACATTAAAATCTATAAATATGTGTTGATTTTCCTTAATAAAGGATTTGTTGCCTGGCCCTTGTCTTCTGTTGTTACAGTTATCCAAAGTAAACAACTAACTGCCACGACATACCTATTCGTCAACAGTTCAAAGGCCTATCACATATGATAAGCTACTAAATCTATGACAGTTACTACTTTCTAATCTCATCGTTATCTACTCAGACCGTGTATAGCACGTTATAACCTGCAAAAATACTCATTCCAGCCAGTACAGCTAGTTGAGTCATTACAATATGCAAGCCAGCTAGCTACCGATTCAAGATGGCGACTATCCATCAGAAAAACGAAGCTACAAAAATAAAACACTAATCATAGCTGATACTATTTGAAGGTATTACAAAAAACACAATGAACACTCACACTCATACACACAGGGAATAATACATCCAAAATTATATTTTTAACACTCAAAGGACTTGGACAACAAAATCATACGGTAGAATTATACATATATATTCATAGTGTGCGTCTATTGTAGGTAAAAGACTTAACAAGGCATATATATAACCAGCAGGAAAATAAAGTTGTTTATTACTCACATTACACTCATATTACATAACAGATATGGAAAATAAAAATGAATTAATTAGCTGGGGAGCAGTTCACATAATATAAAGACGTCTGAGAAAATAGCAGTGAGTAAGCAAAGACAATGAACGTTTATGTAGTTACTTTTTTTCTTATCAATATCGTTACACAAGAATTGAATAAGAAGTTATTTTGAAACGGAACAAGTCGAAAGAGAAAACAGCTAGCTCGCTAGTTAGCTACCACGCGAAACCAGAAATCTCCATGTTACATAGTGGCAGTTGAGACCACAATTATCCGATAGTAACAATAATGACAGGGACAAAAACTAGCAGTAATGGAGAAGTACATCATGGAAGATGAAGGGAGAAACAGTTGACTACTTGAAAGAAGTAAAAATAAAAAATGAAGGTGTAAACGAATAACTGGCATTATTGATTAGCAAAGCCAGTATTAATATAGTATTTAAGAAGTCTCCTAGCAGACAGGAAACACAACACAAAAGACAACAATGCGAATGCACATAGGACACACATAGAGTGCAAACAATAGAAAGTGATGAAATCAGCTTCCTATTATAATAGATATTTATTGAATAGATCAAAAGGATAAATGCATAGAAAAAAGAATCTATTTACTTTTTATTATTATGAAGCAAAAGGCGCTACTAACATTAACACAATCTCTATACAGAAAGTAAACATACACACACACACAACATACATGTACACTTGAAAAATAGAAAGAAATGTCCTATGCATATTATATTACGCAATCATACTTATACGAGTGTAATAATGAAACCATGTTTAGTTAGGTAGTTTAAAACAGATTATCAGTAGAAAAAAAAGTGAATGCATATGTGAATAGAATAAATATATGAAGATTATTACACATAGTACAATAAAGACTGAATGTTTTTTTTTTAAATATAGAGTCATCTTCTATGGTATTCAGGAGTAATAATATGAATAATAGTAATAATAATAATAATTTTTAAACAAATCATTCCAAAGAAGCATATTCAATAAAAAAGAAAGAATAAATTGCAATATTATATAAACTGATAGATAAAAGTTTGGAATAAAGCTTTTTTAATAATAATAATCTTGATGTTATGTTATGCCAACGGATCTTTGTATTTAGATACACTGTCTGCATATATACCACTTGTACTGATGGCTGCTGCTGACTGTACTGACAAGTCAGTTGGCTTGTTGACTGTTGTATTCATTTGTGTAGTATCACTAGGATGATAATGATAATAGTGATGATGATAATAGTAATGATGAGCCGAGCGACTTGTTTCATCTCCAGCAAATTCCGTGGTCAGTGTATTATACGAACGAAGTGTATCTAGACAGTCAGTAGTAGCTGTTTGACTTGGTGCAGAAGACGGCTGAGAGAAATTTCCAGCTTCTGTAGTATGTGGGCGGAAAGCAGCCGTTTTAGACACACTGGATTCGTTAACGACGTCACCTTTTGTTGAGTTCGGTGGAAATGAAGTCACATTAGCATGAGCAGTTTGACCTGTTGAACTCTGAATATTTTGTACATTATCTAGACACTGTCTAATTTCGATAAGTATCTGAATAATCTGAACAGGATTCCATTCCGTGATTGCAGGTATACCACCACCACCACCCTTTTCAAGTGGATTACAATTATTTGGCATATTTTGTTCAGGTGTCCTATAACTGTTGAAGGATCGATTGATAGCATCTTGTTGTAAATGCGCTACCAGCTTTTAAGGAGAACAAAAGAGGAAGGTAAACATCAGCGGGTTACACAAGTAGTGAGAAGCTAAAACAACAGTCACAAGTCTTGAAAGTTCAGTGGTAAAGTCTCTGATTGACCCGGATTTAAATCTCAGAAGGGATATGAGTTACTTCAAAATTGCAGATACACCCTGATGATGAAACCTAGGTCCAAGGCTTCCTGCCTATTGACCTCAATCACTTAACAATGATTCCAGGTGTTCCGTGATGCCAAGCCACCTAGAATGGTGGCTAAATTACAAATTTGGCCGATAGAATGCAGTCTGTACTAAACGAAAGAATAAACGCATGGCATTAGTCACTGCCTAGTGTGGTGAGAGCTAGCTGCTAGCCAAAGTTGGTAGACAGTAATTAACGTCAATGTTTATATCCCCAACATTGGTGGTGAGAAAATGAGAGCAAAGACTGCGTAGGCGGATACAGTTAACATATAGATGATCTGACATTCAAGAAACAGTCACAAAGAGATGAAAGATTAACTTTAAATGAGAAACAACCAATCAGAAAACTGTGTTTGTTTGCTTAGATGATCTATAATAATGTACATGAAAATATATAAATATGCTTTGATTTCCTTAATAAAGGATCTGTTGCCTGGCCCTTGTCTTCTGTTGTTACACTAGTATTCCATCAAAGTTGACTTAAAATACAGAGAAATTTTCCAAAGCCTTTTATTCCACTATGCATCATTGAACCTATGCAATGCCCTACAGTCTCTGTGATTAAATATCTAATACCACATACCAAAATATCGAAGCACTTATTACTCAGAATTCGGAAACTACCTTACAAATGCTGGCTAATATAGCTCCAGAAATTACACTGAATAGCTTCAAGGTGTACTGATGATGATTCAGTATCGTCAGTAGATTCAGTTTCCGAATTTTATTTAAAGCTCTACATAGAATTAATTAGGCAGAAAAGGAATAGCAGAAGTCTACAGTTGAAATATTGAATTCATATATGCTATTCACCCGACTCAGTTTTTCTGAGTTTTTCTCCACCTGTTTAATCACTACACTGATGGATGGTAAAAGAAAAAAAAAGAGACGAAAATTAATTGTTTTAAACTACATCTACTTACCATATCATGAAGATTACGAACATACTTTGTATAAAGCTCATAGACTGCCCAAGAGACATTAAAATCTGATGAGTGGTTAATGGAATGTTGTCGCATAAGATCATTCATTTCTTCTTGTTCAACGGCAGGCAAGGCTTTAACTTCACGATAGTAACTATGCACTCTGTCCCATTGTTGCTATATATCAATCAGAAGAAAAAAATTCTTATAATATATACTTACTAGTTATTCAATGTGCCTATACTATTTAGGTTGATATCAAAAGATTCTTTTTATAGTGAAAAACTGTTACCTTTGTAGTTTATTTTGAAGAATTTCTATGACTCCGTTGCAACAAGCTAATCTCTACTCACTCAAGTTCCAGTATACATGAAAAACAGATGAAGACATTATTAATCAGGAATCTGGAACGTTTTTTTACATTGCTTGTTTTCAATAATCATAACTCGGTCGGCCATGAAATAGGACAGAGTGAAATGCTGCACAGCACACTTTCTCTTTGATAGGTTGCTATATATCTTGAAGGGGACGAGGGTTTTTATTGATGTGGTAAGCTATTAAATGACAAATGACCCAACTGCAACCACTTTCATACTTTTCTACCAATTATTACGGTTGATACAATTCACTAAACCCATGAATTAGTCAGAGGATTCAAATACTTCACTCATTATCATTAAACTAGAAGTTATTGCTAACAAGCAGGCGAAAAGCAACAGGTTGGCAGAAGAAGCATCAAAGATAGGACTTCAGGTGAACATAGAGAAAACAGAGGTGGGTGACGAAGATTCCTGGGCGACACCACCAACAGCAACAACAGACAACAATCAGCATAAATGGAAGGAACCTGAAAGAAACAACCTCCTTCACCCACCTACCTGGGAAGCATCGTTTCAACTACAGGAGGAACTGACGAGGATATCAAAGCAAGAATCGGAAAAGCAAGAAAAGTTTTCACTACTCTCAAGTCTGTGTGGAGGTCAACAACACTCTGCATCCAAAATAACATCCGGATTTTCAACTCCAATGTGAAGTCAGTCAGTGCTACTATACGGATCAGAGACTTGCACTGCGCGTCATAAACAGCATCTCACACAAACTACAGACCTTCATTAACAGTTGTCTTCGCTCAATACTCAAGATCAGATGGCCGGTCAGAAAAGATCAGCAACAGAGATCTCTGGCAATGAGCGAACCAACACAGCAGGAACAGATTGTGAAACAAATAGGCAGGAAGAAATGGAGATGGATTGGCTGGCCATACTCTGAGGAAACAAGCCATCAAGTGACATCACTAGACAAGCCATTGCTCGAGTGGAACCCGGCCGAAAGGGAAGCGGCTATTTGGTCGTCAGTGCAAGGGTGGGGTGACTTGGAGGAGGTCATGTGAAGAGGAGATGAAAGCGTGTGGGCAGACTTGGAGCCAGGTGAAAACTCTAGCAGAGAACCGAACGCAATGGAGACGCATGGCTGAAGCCCTAAATTCCTCTAGGAATTAAAGGAAACAATAATAATAATAAATAATAATAATATTGCTAACAAATTCTGAAGCATCATCTTCTATTTAACAGAAGTGAATACGCTCAGAACACTACACTTTTATAGTCTCCTTCCTTAGGTACATTTAATGAACTAGATTGTTTCTGAGGACTAAATCAATACCTTAACTGAATTTGTACAAAGTCTTCATTACCAGTTGTTTCATACTTCAATAATATGGTGAGTAATATTGAGGTTAGGCCTAGAGAGTTAGGAGGTAAGGAGGGTAAGTCAACTTGAGGTTGTGAAGCTACATCGATTGAGATGGCTAGGACATACATGTTGAGCAAACCAAGCCATCGCCTTCCTCCACGGGTAATGTTAGCCAATATAGGATTAGACTGGAAAAGAGTTAGAGATGGTCAAACCAAGACCTGGAATCAATCGATTATATCTTTGACAGTTAGTTTGAACCATGGGGGTGTTATAGTCCTCGAAATGTTAAGAACCAATGGCTTGAAATGATTTTAGATACGGCTCAAAAGTTGTTCTCAAAGAGGACAGATGCATTCACTCTTTGTAATCTCCTATATCCACTATAATAAACCTTCATGTTTTTCCATGTTACTATTCTTTATCCCTCAAATTTCCATACCAGGCCCTCGACTGGAACACGAATGGGGAACGACCAGTGGGGCATCAGTGCGAGGGTGACATGGAGGAGATCGTACTAGGAGAAGATGGGAGATTATGGGCAACCATCAGGTAAGCTAAAGAGAGCAGCAAAATAAGACAAAGTGGAGATGTTTTGGTGAAGCCCTTATGTTCCACTCGGAACCCAAGAGAACGACAAAAATAATATTAATAACAGTAATTTTGAGTCCCTTTTCTCCTATATCTACCTGTGTATTTGCAACGTAAAACATGGCAACTTGTACTGCGGTACTTCTGTGCGAAGTTTTATATTGAAACTCAATCAGACAGTCAGTCATCATCGGTACATTGTATAAAATTGAATAAAAATTGAAAGAGCTAACCATTTGTCAATATTTCAGGCAATAATTCCTTATTAGCCCTTACTCCATTGAACGAATTTAAATAGGATAAATTGCTTTGTCGTCTCTGTTTTTTTCTCTTAATAGAGATAGACAAGAAGACTATAAATCTGACTACACCGAGGCAGAATTTCCGCCTCATTATAGTCGGAAATCGATCTTATTACATGCACTAGTATTAATAAAACTGATTCACGTCTAACAATTAATGGTACAAAAAAACTTTTTTAGGTTGCGTGTCAACCACATATGAAAGTTTGACTTTCTCGTCTGTAAACCAGTCAGGTAAATGTATAACAGCAATTGCTTGCTACGCCCATTTATATCCAAGGATATAAACGTTCACGAGCTAATAAGTGTTTCGTATCCAAAAGGTACCTGAAAGTAGAAATAATCTACACGTTCTCTTCATTATTGGTGACTATTCTGTGTCGTTCACAGGCTTGGTATCAAAAAATAGCCAAATGAGATAATATTTGAACACTGTACAGAACTATGTTTAATTGACAAAATTATTTATAGTAGCGGATGTCATAATTTCGATATATATTAAACGTATACGGTTCCAGATATGACGAACTTATATGAACTTAAATTATACAAGTACAAGTTGTACAAACCTAATCATTAGACTTTGAAATCATTTGATGGAAACAATAGAAATATTGATAATATATTCAGACAAGATATGAACAAAATTTTACTAATTTAAGATAAGTGAGATTATTTTACACAATCAATATCAACAACAGGAGAAATTTGAAGTAAGTTACTCCTCTGAATTGTCCAAGCCAAAGCGCATTGTTTCAACTATAGATGGTCCTGATGAAGATGTCTGAGACAGGATTGGAAAAGCGAGACAGGCGTTCATTACCCTGAAATCATTGTGGAGATCTCCTTCACTAAGCATAAAAAACTAAGATTTCGATTTTCAACACTGTTGTCAAGTCAATCAGTGCTTCTATGTGGTTCAGAGACTTGTTATTTCACCAAAAGCATTTGCAGCCGGCCACTGGAAGACTTTCATCAACACATGCCCCCCCCTCTATGCTGGAAACAAACCAAACACGAACCTGTTGCCCAAGATATATGCCAAAAGAAACGGATATAGATTTGACATACACTGAGAACACCATTAAGTGGTATCACAGGCCGTCAAGTGGAATCAGAATGAGGAATACCGAGTTTGGCATCGTTACGAAGGTGATATGGAGGAAATCGTGCGACGAGAAGATGAAAGCTTATGGGTAATTGTGGTGTCAGGTAAAATGGACTGCAGACAGCATGGTAAAATATAGATGTGTTGCTGAAGCCCTTTGTTCCACTAGGAGCCAAAGAGAATAATAATAACACAAACGTCATTTTACGGCAGACATGAATTACTACTCTAACAATGATAATCAATGTCTACTTACAGAGATATCTGGTGCAAAAAGTAACTTTATACAAGATGAATCTTTTGTTACTTTTTCTTTAATAGGTGTACAAGCATATGTCATAGCATGACTAAAGGCATGAAATGAACGTTCCAGGGCTGTGTTACGCAGTAAAGAAATATCAAAAATGTAATCCAAATTTGTAATAATTTGATTCCAAAAACGCATTTGTATGCTAAATGGAGTAAGAAAAAGAAAAAGAAAACAGTATTTTAGTAGATACACATATTTATGTGTAATCTGATGCAGTTACCAAAAATACAAAATCTGAACAATTAAAATTGAATATTATAGACAAAATGCAAAGATAAATAATTTCTCTTGAATTCAAGGCATTCAGCTACGATAAAAAACTACTCAACAATACCATATTTAGTAGTAAAAAACAACTAATGAATAAGATTGAAGTTCTATAGTTTGGTTTGTAAGGGTTAGTTATGTTTTTACGAGTTGATCACGGATTGATATCAGTTAGAGAACCAAACTATAGAAAATTAATCTGATGCTCGCTAGTGACTTGCTACAGGTTGGAGCTTCCTGCAGTTCTAGTGAGAAGTCGTGACCAGTGAGGTCCAATTAGATGTCACGTGTGTGGATCGATGTCCCACCAACGACAATGGTTGGGGTTGCGCTAAATCACGAATCGGTAGAAGTTAGAATTCATGAGCCATTGAATCGGGTCCCAGTGGCTCAATGGTATACGAGCTTGCCTTGTAACCGGAAGATCCTGGGTTCGAATCCCAGTGGGTGCATACTTCCGATGATTCCCAAACTAGGATGAAACAGCAGCTGTTCAGTACTGCATGGTTCTCTAACTGATATCAATCCGTGATCAACTCGTAAAAAGATTGAAGTTCATTAATCAAGTATGAAATGTGGTTACTAGGCTGAGGGACGTAGTACTGCTGAAAACTGCGGTGATGAACATTTTGTTCTGATTTTAGATCATAGCAAAACCAATACACAGTCGAAACTGGAAGACTACACCGGCTACGAACAAATATACGCGTCAGAATAAAGAAATGATTACGGCAAAGGATCATTTTCAATAACTTATTCCACCAACTCAAATCACAGAGGGCAAGCGAGATTTCTAAAAATCTAGATGTGATTTGTCAATGAATTTCAATAAGAACAAAGTGTAATTGCACGGATACTCCTAAATGCATAGCTTAGCGAAACAGACGCATAAGTATGATCGATAGATTTAGACAGCCAAATTGGCTACTTATCCGGTGGACCAATTCACTTACACTCATATATTGGTTTTCTAATATGAGTTTACATTTCCTTGCAGAATATACTGGCATTAAACACCCGGTTACCTGAAAATTTAAAATAATTTGGTTTGAATGAACAAATACATGTAATTCCTTAGATCAATTTTAATTAAGAAATCCAGTATAGAACTTGTAAATAGTGCGGCACACCTGATTCTAGTACTCAAGTAAAAAGTATTCAGAATACAGTGTTTCAATTTGACTTCGATTGACATCTACCACCTTACTTTCATACAACATACTGTTTCCTTGATAAACTTCGATAAAGCAAGAAAGATGAAATTTGTATACATTAATTTTTATAACATTTTCTTCACAACCATTCAAACATTGAGATAGCCAGCAGGTGATGAGAACCATTGAAATAAAACGAAATAATTTTATACTGTAAATTTAGCCTTTCTTGCTTTATCGAAAACCTTACTTTCATGTCTTATACTATGGCGGAAAGGTACTGTCACTAAAGTAAACCAGGAGCTAGGTAACGAAGAAACACAGGGGACTGATCAACGAATGGTATGGAGTTGTGGGTTAAAGAATAACACTTGCAGGTTCGCACCGACTCGGTGGGTATAGTCCAAGGAACATGAAATTCAGTAGTTTAGAGTGCTACCACCAAGTATGGCTCTTCACTGAAACCAGTGAAGATTGAGGCTATTGTGTTTCCTTCACTATTGAAATTAATACAAAATCTGCATACCCTTATGACAGTGCTCGTTATGTTATTATATAAATGCTAGTTATCTACTGGTCTTCAATCTGACTTTTTGTCAGTGGAAAACATTCCTACCACATTTTAGGTTTAAGTCAGCGAGATTCTTGGAACATAAATCCCGTGTTTCGGGGGTAGGAGGGAACACACTTGCATTCCTAAGAGAATTCATGTCCACTCAAGTCTACATTGCGTAGTAGTCATATTTCAAACTTAGTCGACATTATTAGAGTCAGCACTGAGGACATGTCGGCTATATCAATAAACACTCGGTAAAGGATTCACGATGAGGATATAAAAATTCCATAATGGATAGGATTTTATTTTAATAAATCACACAGTGTTGTACAGTTAAATTAATTGATGACGTTTCGAGCACAAACTACTGCTCATAATCATATCAAGTTCATATCATATCAAGAACTTGATATGATTATGAGCAATAGTTTGTGCTCGAAACGTCATCAGTTAATTTAACTGTACAACACTGTGTGATTTATTAAAATAAAATCCTATCCATTATGGAGTTATACTCTACCACAGTGCCCAAGTTTTATAGTTATATCAATGATATAAAAATTGTTGTAGCACATTCTAGGCAACAATACCATGTGGAATATTGCTCATGCATATATTCATTGTATCTCAGAAGAATTCATAACAGAGATGAACTCCAATTTTGATTACTAATAACAATAATGATAATATCAGCTTTATCCTGAAAATTATCCTTAAGCTCAATACAGAATTTTCAGCGTTATTTCCTGCAAAATATTCTCTCCCCGTATGTAATCTTCAAGTAATTGTTCATCGACAGTATATCGTATAATGCAACATCATTCTATCTGAAATAAAAAATCAATCCTCTACACCATATTTCCTTAATTTTCTTCTTGAAGTGCACAATGGTATGTTAGAAGCCAATTAAAAATTTCCGTGAGTTCATGCTGTGATTCAAAAACATAATTGGAAGACTGATACAGTAAGGAACGCAATAAAAATAGAGATGCATAAGGCTTGGAGAAATTAAAATAGCTCAGTGGTGGTTTAAGCAAGCTGTCAGAAACATGCCAATCCACGCGACCCTAAGATTTGGCACTTGAATTTACTATTAAGTAGCTCTATTATTGACATTCTAGTTTATTTTTTCTTTTCACTGTTTAATGTAACTAATTACCAGTCATTTACTCAATTTAAATAACACCCTATACGTTAGATACACACTTCCTTTACAGCATATTCCAGTGGGAATGCCTTCTTTCTGGAAATCCGTAATAATTTCAAAGTACAAGAACAAGGTCTGCAATATTTCCAACAGGTTGCAGACCTTTATCAACAGCTGTCTTCGCTCTGTACTGAAGATCAGATGGCCGGAAAGAATCACCAACTAGAAACTATGGGAACAAACAAGAACCAATCGCTCAATAAATATGCAGGAGAAAGTGGAAATGGATTGGACACTCGCTGAGGAGGCCGCTGGGTGACATCGCGCGTCAGGCCAGTGCTCGAGTGGAACGCGAAAGGGAAGCGGCGAGTGAGACATCCAAGGGTGACATGGAGGAGATCATGTGAAGAGGAGTTAAAACAATATGGAATAACATGGATGCAAGTGAAAAGTACAGCAGAAGACAGAAACAAGTGGAGACGTGCAGTTGAAGCCCTATGTTCCACTAGGAACCCAAGGGAACAATAATAATAATACAAGAAAGAAAAATAAAGGACTAAGTGTAAGTAGATAATCTTGGTGTAGTGTAATAGTCTGAAATTAGAAGACACAGAATGAATGAAATGAAGTCTTTCAAATATTAGTCGATTAAAGACGTCATGCTTCCCGACAGCAAACAAAAAATCAACAAATATTGAGACGACATCATAATAAACAGAAAGGATACACATAAGAATGAAGTAGTGTTTGATAAGCAATGCAGCTGTGAATATTCTTATAAATACGATTAGTATGCAAGAAATAGATAAATAAATACTCACCAATTAGATTTCCAAGCGTGAACAATTCTTGAATCTTGTACACCTAATTTGATCGCTCGATCATCTAAAAAATCGAAGAGAAATTTGATGGGTGCAGGTAAACTTTGGGATTGGTATACACTGCTGAAAATTACTTCGAATAATCGATCCATATACTTCATAACAGACAGCTAAGAGAGAAAGAAAGTAAAACGACGAGATTAGTAGTAGTAGGTGAGGAGAAATGACGAAAAAGATTACTCTTACAGTAGCATAAAGGTAACCGAAGAACTTGGTGTGTAATTATTTAACAAAAAAAATGGTAAGTTCGTCTTTGGAATATTTCAATACATGAATTCAGAAGTGTAAAACCCCTTCACTCCTGTAACATTTGTAGCATAATATTCGTTAACAAACGGTTAACTTATTGAGTTAAATAACTAAACGTAACAAAATGATTAAATTGATTGTATGGAGGATTTCATCATGAGCTGACACCGGCTAGAGGACCAGTGGAAAACCTGCGGAAGGTACTGGACAGCTGTTTCTTCCATCCTAGTTTGGGACTCATTGGCAGTACGCACCCACCGACAGGGTTCGAACCTAGGACATTCTGGTTACAAGGCCAGCTCGTAGTCCATTAAGCCAATGGGACCCAACCCAATAGTCCACGAATTCCAACTTCTGCCAATTCATGATATAGCACGACCACTTCTCAATGTCTTCTTCGATGAGTTACTGCCTCACTTTCAACCTGCTGCACCCTAATGGTCATGGCTTCCCACTAGAACCTCAGGTTAACTGCCTGATGAATAGGGCCAGTCACTAGTGAGCATCGGTTTAATTCTCAAGTATTGGTTTTGTGGGGATTGTTTGATTGAATGGAGGATTTCATCATGAGCTGACATCAGTTAGAGAACCACCGGAAAACCTGGGAGTACTGGACAGCTATTTCGTCCTAGTCTCCTAAACCTACATTGATCACAAGCAGTCATGTAGTATGGTTTTATCACTGGATACGATTTCTGAGGGAAGGTTATCAACGATTTTATTTCAAAACAATACCAAGTACCCAGTCACTGGCTAGGTTGAAACAATACTCACGACTCAAAAAATAACAGGTGCTACACATACACACAACATTTTTAAAGTAACATCATGATTTTTTAGCTGCTGTGAATGATTAAAATTTGGGCTGCCGTAAACTTCCATCAATATACTGCATAAAATTTATTGTAGTAATATATGACTTCTAATAGTTTTGTTTACCCTGGAGGGTATTTAAAACATTTACAACCTGCTGGTTTGAAAGTTTCTATTAAACATGTGGAAAAGCATTATCCTCGACGACAGCCTATCGCAATACATGAGATGACTATTGCTGAGTGGTGTCTATAATTGGCATTCAAACAAACGTCGTGTATTTCTCGAAGGAGCAAAAAGAAGAGACATAATCGCATTGGTTTTCGGGTCTAACAGAACTGTGTCAAACGATCTGCTGTCAATCAATCTTTTATTTGAACATTCTGGACGAAGAGAAAATATCATGCAATAAACTGCGCTGAAAATTCTGTACATCATATAAGCATTGTTCAGAATAAAGCTATTAGTGTTTTCTGTTTGCTTATTGTACACTACAGTACTGAAAAAGGTTAACTCATATTAAAATAAAAATTGTGAGACTTTTTCCAGTGAAACTGGCTAATATTCACTAGTAAAATTAGTTACGAATACTTTGATAAAAAAATAATGAGCTACAAATCCAACCGATAGTTCGTACATATATAAAAAACTTTTAAAAATTAGTTAATTGGAATACTTACTCGTGTTAGTAGAAGACGATTAAAAAATACTTCTCTCGGTAGAGGTTCTACGAGGGGACTAAGACTCTCTGATAGCTTGGTTGTTGTTGCTGTTGTTGTTGTTGAACCATCCTTACCTTCTCTTAGAGTGGAAATTTCCCGTGAGCCTGTTTTATTCTTTGTACAACTACTGTGACAACGATTATTTTTCCACTTTTTTGAAGATTTTGATTTGTTCATTAGTTGTTGAGTGCAATGATGTTGATGAGGATTCATTTCATTGCAGGCTAAGAGTGGATGACGTGTTGAACATGCTGAACATATCTGAGTCGTTTCATTCTCATGAATGTCATTACCGATTATTGAAGAACGCGTTTTTGTATCACCACCAGAATATTCATTGACGTGTAAACAACAACAATCAGATTTATGTGAACAGGCAAAAATTAAACGATGCAGATGATTAGATTTTTTGTTTATATATCTAGAATATTTATTCGACTGTTTAACACCACCATTTGTACCCATAGAAGTATTACAATCACCTGTCCATTCTAAATGATACCATAATTTAGAATCAGGTACTCCAGTTGGACGAAAACAAAACGCAGGATCAAAAGAAGTTGGGACTTTTGACAGATTCAATCGTTCATCAGTAAAAGAAGCATTACATGTAGAGGTTGTATTGTTGACTGGTTGTTGGTAAGGAAGACCTCTGATTAATTTTTTAGTACTAAGAGGAGAAACTGGTTGTGGTAATGGACGATTTAAAGAGGATGGTTTGTGGATAACTTCGATTGTAGGAAAACATGAATCTGTTGCTAGCCTTGATTGAGGTGGGTAACCATTTGCTATATAACAAAATATTTTAAAAAATATATTATTTTACAGTCATATAGTTGCGAAAGGACAAAAGAAACATATTTCAAAGAATTAAATTAGCGGGATGTGCGTCGGCGGCACAGCGGTTAGGACGCTCGCCGACCATGCACATGGGCCGGGGTTCGGTCCCAGGCCGACGCATTCCTTTACCTCGCTAACCCAGTGATAAAAGTTGGTGAAGAGGAAAGGCTGGGCATGGGGCTAACAACCCCATCCTGTAAAATAAACACTGCTACAGAAACTTCAAGCCACTAGCTTGAAGCCCTATGTTCCACTGGGAAAGTGAAGGAATAAAAAAGTAGGAATCCGAATAAATCTAAGTTAGGAGGCGTGACCAAAAACAGTTAGTCAGTCAGTAGTTTGTTTTATTTGAAATTTCAGCAGAATCAATAAAATGGTCACTGACCAGGGCATCTCTTTACCTGTAGAAAATGGAGTGTTCATCAAAATAATAGGGCATAATCACGCGAATTAAAGCATATTATTGCAATCACGCTACTTATTTTAAAATTAGTAGCACCACTAGGTTATCTTTATTTTTTCCCAAAAAGATATACCGTGGACGGTATAAAATGCAGAATTCAGAGGATGTGATGGGAAATCATGTCAGAATTTACTTTTCACTGATGAAAAACATCTTTTCATGATAAGAAGAAAAGTGGAACAAGAATAAACTTGTATGTAGGTTGACTGAATGTGCATCTCATTTTAATAGGATGATTTTAAGTGTACGGTTATTCCTCGATAAGAATATCACACTGCTCAGACAGGTACTGTAATATAATTTATTGTCTATATATTAGAAGATGAATCAGAATTTAACTCAGAATCATGATAACTTTATTGATGGTTAATATTTGCGGATAAAATCTTAGTGTAACTGAAGAAAGTGGTTCCAGGACTTCTTATGAAAAAGTGGTTTGAATTTTTCATGTGACCATCTTTTTTCTCAGGATATTCAGGTCCATTTGCAAAGATGAAACTTTAGAATTACTTTCTTCAGAATCTAAGATTCAATGACATCTCCCAGATACGAAGTTAAACTATCACAGTGACCTTCAACAACCAATGGGGATTCAGATGCGAAAAAGTCTTATAATCGTTTCTAAAAATGTATTAAAAACATTGCAAACATGATATTACACTGGACAATAGTCTCTTATTTGTTGTAATAATGTCTACCAGTTTCGCCAAGGACAGTTCACAGAGAAATCATATCATACGCAATACATGCATTCATCTAGGTGGCTGTAAATCATAGTACTTTAGGATACATCGGTGTTCCTGACTTCTTTCTTCAACCCTCTCCTCCTCCAAAGAACCTTAGATAGAATTGGTGTAGGTGTCTGTCATTCAATCCACAGGATTGAAAAAGTGGTTAACACGATGGTGAATATAATCCAAAGATGACAACTGGCATGTGTGGTCGTTCCTGGCATTACCAAACGCTGAATAATTGGAATTAATACTCTGACACTTTTGTTAAGTATTGTTTCAACAAAACCTTTGGGTTCGAATCCCAGTGGGTGCGTACTGCCGATGATTCCAAAACTAGGATGAAACAGCAGCTGTCCAGTACTCCCTGGTTTTCAATGGTTCTCTAACTGATATCAGTCCGTGATCAACTCGTAAAACATAACTAATCCTTACAAACCAAACTATAGAAAACCTTTGAGTAGCTAAGTGTCATACATTCCAAGTACATACATCTGATTAGCCATTCTCGCTCCCTTACTATACATCTTCTTTAAGAGAACAGTCTCATGAATATGAACGGTTACCTCTACTCCTTGGAGGCAGATGTTAATCCTCCCTAACTTGCATGATTATGCTGTGCCTCTACAATTTTGATACCATTGCACTGAAGAGGCCAAGCTGCTGCCTTTGCAAAATTCAACAATACATGATCCATAGGATATTTGACAAAGACAGCTTAGATTTGGAGGAAAGAGTACTTAGGGATTAGATAAAATACTGTACCTACCCTCATGGACCGATTTTTTCTTAGAGCGTGAATCCCACAAGGTTGTTGTATTGATTGATTGTCATATTCTTTAAACCCACACACAAGTCTTCATGACTCCAGTTAATCCCATAATGACACAGTAGTGTAAAATAACCGATCTTGAAGGAACTCATTCACCAAATCCATAAAGACAGGCATTGATTTCTATGTGGAATAACCGTTCTTGGCGTCTTCTAAATCTGAATGGTTCTTCAAGGTCAGCGTTTGGCAGGCCTTAACTTTGGCTATGATAGTTTAACTTCGCCCCATTTCGTTTCATTATTCCACATAGAATTATTCTTATTCCCGTACATTTCAGTTTATCCTAGTTTCCTTTCATTCCTATTACCTTTTTTTTTCCTTCTCTACCTTTTATTGAGCTTTATGAAATGTGGCACCATGTGAAGTTCTGCATTCTGTGCAGAGTTACCTGTACTAACGACATAATTTCTTTTGATAAAACTATTAGACTTGTGCAGACTTTCGATAACAGATATTGAGATAAGACTTATTTACAGTTGTTATACACAACTGAGAATATGTTCAATACTGATACATATTGGCATCACATAAATTCTGTCTCACAGTATCCCAGTAAAATGGTGGTATTGGCAAGGAAATGCGTAAGGGAAAAACAGAAGCATACCTGTCTGTTGCCTATATGTCATATCGAGTGTGTATTCATAATAAAGTATTCAAGGTTGGAAGTAAATCTGATTATATGTTTAAATTTATAGTTACTTTTATTCATAATAACGACTCCAGAACCTTCATCAGGTTTCGTAATAATTATATTAGAATTTTCCCGTAGATCTTTCAAGGCTTTGAAATGCTGGGAATTTAATTATAGAGACAGGACATAAAATTGACGTTAACAGATCTTTTAAACCTATCTATAAAACGTGTTTGGAGCGTATCCTAAAGTTTGTGGAAGCCCTAGCTGGCAATTAGGAAGTTTAAACCACGTTTATGTGTTCAAAAACAATTCATCATCACATTAAATCTTCCTTGGTAAATTTTGTTTTGATACCATAGCAGATGTAGTATTACCTCTGTTATTTGGTTTAGTGGTCTTCATTGTTACTTTGACCTTGAATATGTCCTTTTAACTTGACCTAAGTCTATTTTCTCACCTCTTACCTCTTTATTAATTTCATATATGGATTCCTATGACAAGTCCGTGTGTGATCAGATTGTTCGAAATGTGTTGCGCAAATACATTACACGATTCAGACAAATTACGTCTTCTTATTGCTTTATCTAAATTCATAAAGGGAACTAATTGTTTTAAATTTTTAAAGAGAAGACTGACTCCATACACTATCAAAAGGTTAAATGAACTTGTTAACCTTAGGTGTAAAATTATCGTCGAACGTAACACGTTGGAATTTTATGAATTATGTACTAAAAATCATTCCTTCCCGAGGCAATTTTATAAAACTTTGAAATTCAGTAAATTACAACCAAATATCTCTAATCTTATTCGTCTTACAAAGTCACATATCGAAAATGTTAAACAAACGTTACAAGGATTACTTATTCTTCATACCGATGCGTTACTTATTTTATCTGAATTATCAATAATATACCACATGAAATTTCTTCAGTTTTGTAGAGACGTTACTCAGAAAACTAAGACGAATATACAAAATAAGTTGAAGAGTTCAATTGATGGTCGAAACCGCGTAGATGTCTTTCCGGTGAATCCTAATAAGTATGTTACAAATCTTTCTGATATTACTCTATCTACTCATCAGAAAGAAGCTTTATCCCTTGGACTCAAATTTTGTGTTCCTCGCACGCAATTTACGGATTTAGCCATACATGCTGAGTTTGAAAACTTATATGACCAACTCAAACCTCTTGCCGCAACATCCGAAGAAGATCGGGGTTGGTTTAAGGCCAAGATGGTGGATATAGCTCATCAGTTTTTAAACAACCCAAAGGAGAAAAGCATTTTAAATTCCCAGCATTTCAAAGCCTTGAAAGATCTACGGGAAAATTCTAATATAATTATTACGAAACCTGATGAAGGTTCTGGAGTCGTTATTATGAATAAAAGTGACTATAAATCTAAAATGATGTCTATTCTTCATGATAAAAAGAAATTTAGCTGTGATCCCTTCTCAGAAGATATATGTTTAAAACAATTAGTTCCCTTTATGAATTTAAACAAAGTAACAATTTGTCTGAATCGTGTAGCGTATTTCAGCAACACATTCATCACAATCTGATCACACACCAACTCGTCATAGGAATATACATATGTGAAATTAATAAAGAGTTAAGGGGTGAGAAAATATATTTAGGTCAAGTTAAAAGGACATATTGAAGGTCAAAATAACAATGCAGATCACTAAACCAAATAATAGAGGTAATGGTGTGGTGAGAGCTGTCTACTAGCCAAATTGGTAGACAGTAATTTACGTCAATGTTTACGTTCTCAAGATTTGTCGTGAGAAAATATGAACAAAGACTGATTCAAAACCGACCACAGCAGACTTTGCGTAGACGGATACAGTTAACATATAGATGATCTGACATTCAAGAAACAGTCACAAAGAGATGAAAGATTAAGTTTAAGTGAGAAACAACCAATCAGAAGACTGTGTTTGTTTACTTAACTAATCTATAATAATGTACATGAAAATATATAAATATGTGTTGATTTTCCTTAATAAACGATCTGTTGCCTAGCCCTTGTCTTCTGTTGTTACAATAGCACATCTGCCCTGGCTAGTAACAAAACAAAGTTCAGCAAAGAAGGTTTAGTGTGATGACGAATTGTTTTTGATCGCATAAAGGTGGTTTAAAGATTCTTAATTGCCAGTTAGGGCTTCCAAAAACTTTAGGATACGCCCTCCCCCAAACACGTTTTATAGATAGATTTAAAAGATGTGTAAACATCAATTGTATGCCCTGTCTCTATAATATGTTTCGCAATAGAGGAGCTAGGTCGTCTGTTCTCACCATTAGTGCGTTCTGGGGCCGTTTAGGAATATGCTCTGAAGCCCTTATTTGCAGAGGTCGATGAGTCCTCCCTATGTACATTCAAATAGGTAAATACAGTGGGATTTACATATGTGTAAATTAATGTATCACAGAGGCATAATAAATTCTAAGATGTTCTTACATTTCCAGTCACACACACGTTAAAAAAGTAAGGTAAGAACATTACGCAAAAGAATTGAAAATATAACCAGATAAGGCATAAGAGTCAGTTAAAAAATAATAAGTATATTACAACTGTTTTGGAGACTTTCATGAGACCACGCTTTGCCGTTTAAAAAAGGACCAGTAACAATTACACGCTATTTTCCTCATTTATATTCTCCACGTCTATTGTAATTTAGTGAAGCGAAAGATTTCTGTAATTCAACATCATCTTAAAAGTAGACCGTTCTCAAACATCATCATGAAATAGAAAATCTTTCGATCGTTCCGTGTACACATAATGCCTCTTTGTTTCCACAGTTTCTTGTTGCTAATTCTTTCTGGCCGGCCATCTGATCTTCAGTATGAAGACAGAGAAGGGAACAGATGCTGATGATATTCTGTAACTTGTTGGAAATGCTTTACGTGACTCGTACACCAAGTTTCTGAACCACATATAAGAACTGACTGATTTCACATTGGTGTTGAAAATCCGAATCTTGTTCTTAATGTTGGCTGAGTGCAGATGTCCACACTAATTTAAGGTTGATGAAGGCGTATCTTGCCTTTTTGATTCTGGCTGACTGGCTCTGACATCTTCATCCGTTCCCCCTGTAGTTGAAACGATGCTTCCTAGATAAGTGAAGGAAGTAACCTCTGTAGTGGCTGTTGGTTGGTTATCGTGATCACCTCAGTGTTCTCTATGCTCATCTGGATTCCTGTCTCCACCACCTGCCACTTCTGTCAATTTGTTGGTTTCCACCCGCAATTCTTCGAGTTTGTGTGATATTAAATATAAATCATCCGCGAGTATGAGATACTAAATACTGTTAAGTTTTGTTTCATCATTTTAATGGGTCTTATCACCGGTAGTCAAGTCAGTGATCGAATGCCAAAAGCAAATATACATACATACAAATCACTTGTAATTAACCTTCACAAAAGGATAAGTAAATACTAACATTTCTTTTTTTTTTTCATATTTTCATTTTCAAAATCAATATTATTTAAGCTTTAGAATAGAAAAGGTAACAGAGTAAGTAGTAGAAATAGTTGATTACATAGTTTCAAACACAATCAAATTCAAAGATGAAATTGTGTGTGAGTGAGTATAAGCATAATTACATTTTTCAATACATAAATATATGAAGAAATTTAAGTCTACAAAACTTACATTGTAATAACTCTGATCTAGATTGAGTATGATTTAATTTAGTCGGCTCACAAGCAAATAATGCAACTCGAGTATTATCTTTAAGCTGAAAATAAAAACAAATGCAGTGAGAGACAGACAGAGAATTTAGCAAACTTCCTTCACTAAGCAGTTATGAAAGTGAAGGTGAATAATGCTGGTAATATAATCCTATCGTATATGACAAGAAGCATGACATCAGAATAGAATCAACAGGATCATTAAATATACGATGTATAGTACAGGAAATAGAAAGTCTTTGACAATGGCTTTGAGACAAGTAGGGAGTTGTAGGCTGACTCTTTGGCATCCCCACAGGATGTTAATAACCAATGACTCGAAAGTCATACGCAATGAGGATAGAAGCATTCACTTTTTGTCATCTCCTATATCCACTATAAACCGTCATATTTCTCCATGTTACTATTCTTTCTCCCTAACATTCCTGCTTATTATAATTTTATGAATCGATGTGTGGTCTACCTTTGTAAGCTACAATGAAGTGTGGTAACTTTAATTACTGTGGAAGGTTTAATGTGATGACGAATTGTTTTTGAACGCATAAAGGTGGCTTAAAGATTCTTAATTGCTAGTTAGGGCTTCCAAAAACTTTAGGATACGCCCTCCCCCAAACACGTTTTATAGATAGGTTTAAAAGATCTGTTAACGTCAATTTTATGTCCTGTCTCTATGATATGTTTCGCAATAGAGGAGCTAGGTCGTCTGTTCTCACCATTAATGCATTCTGGAGGTTCAGTTTGCTTCTGAAGTCATTTAGGAATATTCTCTGAAGCCTTTATTTGCAGAGATCAATGAGTCCTCCCCATGTATGTGTATCCACACGTACATTCAAATTGGTGAATACAGTGGGATGTGACGTCATTTTTCGCATGTTCGAAGGGCTTAGATAGATATATTGGCTTTACATTCTCTATTATTATGATATTGGCTGCATAAAAAGTCTTTTTGACAGCAGCCTTCAGTCTTTGTCTAGTTATCAAGCTGCTTTGATGCCCCATATAGGGTAACTTGATGTACACGTCTTTCTTAGGGGCGAGCTGGAGATTGGGTCTTGGTGTTCTGACTACTTTATATCTCCTGATGAACTTGTCTGGATAATTGTTATCAATCAGAGTTTGTGTCAACATTCTTTCTTCCGCATCAAGTGTGTCTTCAGTGCATATTCGTTGGATTCTACTGAAGAGGCACCTTACTAAGGCTCTTTTGTACCGAACAGGGCAGAAACTGTGGTAATTAAGATACTGGCCTGTCCATGTATCCTAAAGTTTGTGGAAGCCCTAGCAATTAGAAAGTTTAATTACTGTGTTGAGTTCAGTACTGAAACTCAGTCAGTCACAGTAGGAAGTAAGTCAAATTTTGAACAAAAGAAAAATGTAATTTTTGAAGCGAACACAGGAGAAAAAAAGGTCTGAGAATAAACACTAAGCTCGGAAATACTTTGTTTGTTGTGTATGTACATGTGTACTGGTCAACACATTTTGTCAAACACTATTAACACTAAAGGCATTTTTCTCTGTTGGCAGGCAAGAGACTCCTCTGTCTAGTTGAATAGAAGTAATCCTCTTTTTCATGCATTGATATGTAAAAGTCAATCGAAGAAATAACAAAAAAAGGTGAAAATTTTACAATTCGCCTCAAGCGAAAATTCCTTCCTTATTTATTTATTTATATCGACAAAACTTGTAATGTCATTCAAACGTATATATCTTTAGAGATACATAGAATTTATACATAATTTATTAGAAAGACTACTTGAAGAAAAATAGACCTATTTATTATGATATCATATTAAGAGGTTATTTTTTTATTATTAAAGTGTGACAGTAAAAATATTTATTTATAATTATGGAGAATTATAGTGTATCATGAATCCTAGGGAGTATTGAACAGTAATACCGTATGTCTTATCAGGCTACACTTATAATTACTGTGTGTAAAATAACAGTTGTAAAATTAAAACATCTCATCATCAGTAAAACAAAAGTTTACAAAGAAAAAAACGAGGAGTGCTCGCACACTATCCCCAAAGTGTAATTTAACACCATCCCAATGAGAAAAAGCCGAAACACAGATAAGAAAGACGAAAAGAGAAGTCAACAGACATAAAAGACGGGAAAATAGTACATACCGGAGGCCTAGACTATTCATGAATTCGCGCTAGACGCTTGTATGCAAAAGAAGCATGCACAGTCCCTATCGCTATCCTGGCTTCAGAATATAAGGGTGGAACAAGGGATTCATTTGTTTGCCCGTTTGTTTATTTAATCTGTGTACCTTCACTTTATTATTATTTTCACTTTGAACAGTTTCTGGCATTATTTCACTTGTCTAATTTGTCATTTTAATTCTCTCTCTCTCTCTCTCTATATATATATATATATATATACATATATATATATATATATATATATATATATATATATATATATATAATAGTTATCTCTCCTGGCGACACCGGATAACTGTAAATATTATCTTTATATAATTTTATTTTATTTTATTTGCCATGCTAACTGTATTATCAATATCAAGCTGTGCTGTAGTTGTACATTTTAGTTTCGGTTTCACAATGTATCATTATTACTGTATTAGCTAATTGCTATGTGACAATGGTTATTTTCCCCTCTACCCCTACTAGTATGCACATTCTATCTATACACTTACCTTTGCCTAGATTATATAAACACTTGAATGAATTTATCCTTGTTATTATTATTTTTATTATGATCACCTCGATTGTTATCCATTGATTCACATCCCTCAACTCTGATCCTATATTCTATCAAAAATATTAATTCAAATGCCTATAACTAATATGCCATCATGTAAATGTAAAGCCTGATGAGAGTTTATCGAAAATATAACGATGACTCGAAGGCCTATACAAATTGCATAGTGTCTTATGCAGCCTGAAATATCCACTTGAAATAAATAAGACCATAAATAGCTTCTATCACTGCAAAGGATGAACAATAAGAAGGGAGCTTCAGTACCAAAACTAATATTCTGAGCTTATTGTCCTCTTGTCTATATTAAGAAGGTTTGAGGACAGTGTACTCCACATTGCTGCACAGTTTTTCGCGACTGTACGAACTTACCGCATAAAAGCTAGTGACGCATGTGAAGCATGATCCAGATGAATGTCCTTTTTGATTTGTATTCACGAGAAAATAGACAGCTTTAAAACTGAGGTAATTTAAGAAAACATCCATTAGTATGATACAGTCAGGTTTCCCAAAGCTTAAAAAGTCTGATCTGATCTTCATTCATGTTATCCATCACTTTCTATGTAATGTTTACTTATCATGACACCATTCAAATCATGCATCGGTGATTTAGTGGTGGAATACTACTCGCCAACCACTAACATGGTCATCAGGGGTTCGGCCCTAAGCCAACGCATTCCGAAACCTCGCTCAGCCGGTAGCAAACCTGGTAAAAGCGGGAGGTGGGTCGTGAGGCTAGCTACCTCACTCCGTAAAAATAAACAACACTGCCACTGCTACTTCAAAGTTGAAACCTGAAGCCCTATGTTCCACTTGAAAAGCACAGGAATAAAATAAAATAATAAAAATAGAATTCGAACAATAAAATGAAAAGGAAAGAAAAAATGAATATTTACGTGATAATCCTTGACACAGTTTAACCGCATTGGAGTTTTTTCATGTTGCATTGAAGTGGATGTCGAACGAATTTTTACATCCCAATCGGATAAAATTTGACCAGTACAAAATTCATTTTCTATTATTAAAAACAAGTAATAATAAAGTGTCAATTTGAGAAATCATGGATAAGTATTAAAAGGTAACTGTTTTCTAAATTTTATTGTGTTCAATAAAGACTTCTAAATGGTCTTGAATAATGAACTATTTACAACAGACATCATCACCATCATAAGCATCGGCAGCATCACAAGAACAACAACAGCAACAACAATGTGGAAGTTTCAAAAGGATAGTGATAACCACAAAACTACAAGGAACTAATTAAAACTGATACAAAATCCTCTAGCAATTCTTATCAATAAAAAATAGAATAAACCAAACTATAGCTGGAAAGCAAGCAACAATGAAAACAATAACTAACTTGAAAGAAAACAAACATGCACAACAGGTCAACACACACAATACAGAGTAAAGGTTTGAACTGACATAAAAATACTAACCAGCATGCAAGCTAAACGTTACCTGATTTTTGCAGAGACAGCAATGAACAATAGGCTAAGAAAGTAAACAAAACTTTTGCTATAAAAGTAAGTAGTGTATTATTATTACACGCTTAACAGCGGTACAATTGTGATCTACGAAAATAATACAGAAAGTCGACTAGCATGTTGATTATTTTGTTTAATTTTGAATGGAAAATAATGATTTGGAGAAGAAAAAAACACAGGAGGAATACCTACAGCATCACAATGTGTTTCACGAATAAGCACAATGTGAGGCATCGAAAGCAGAGATTTTGTAAGATTTTCAAACAGAATAGCATACTTCGCTTATGATTCCCTCAATATAAAACTACTTAGGTATGCGCAAATAAACGCATAAGACACATCATACAAAAAAAACTGAATAAAGTATAGGCTAACTGATAGAGAATGCTTTCATCCATTGAGCATGACTACGGGGCTTCAAAAACAGGTACAGTTTCGCAAGACAGTATCAATATCAAAGCTTACTACTACTCTACTTACCTGGATTTTGTACAACAGCTTGCTCATCAAGTTTCTCTAAAAAAAAATGCAGGGAAATTAAAGAATTACAATTAAGAAGTTTATCACATTTTTCTAATTTTATAGTCAATTTAAAAAGAAAAGAAACAGAGACAATTTAATGACATTGATTGTTTAAAATGTCATTCATTCTAAATGTTAATTGATAACACTAATATAAAAGGTATGCAAACATTCTAGTAAATACTGTTTAGTTAATTATACTTCCCACTGAGTTGTGTAAGAGAATGGCTTCTGAAAACAAAATCATTTTCGATGAAATAATTCTTAAAAAGCTATGAAATTGCATTTCACTACAATTAATTATCATATATGCTGGCAAAGGAATGTGAATATTACTTAATTAATTATATTCCATCACTCGTACTTTCATAATGACATCAATGAGAAAACAAACCTTCTCTTCCTCTTCAAATTAGACCCTTTTAAATCAGACGACTGGTAGTAATAATTATGATAACAATAGTGGAGCTTAAGAAGCACATATTCTACAACTGATATTCATACATTTTGTACGCGTCAGTGGACCATAACTACACATTCATTAGTTTCCGATTTGTTTATTAGCACTAGAATCTAGTTAAAACAGGATAGAGATTTCTTTAGCATTCCTCATAATTAACTTTAAAAACTCGCAGGTAAGATCCTACGTGTTGTTCAGTGGTAAAATCTACATATAACGAAAAAAGATGATAATAAAGGTATTCACATTTTTAGACTAGTGGTCTGATTTATCATGAACTTTCTGAGCTGTATAGATGATGCCATACAAAAGAATAGTGAAATATTTTCAGTGACACAAATTAATTAACTCTACCGGTATATGATTCAGAGACTTGGCGGCTTGTGACGAAAATAATCTCCAACAGTCTTCAAACTTTTATCAACAGCGACCGTTGTTGTTAGCTTCATACTGAATATCAAATGGCTAGAAAGGATTAGCCTCAACTACAGGAGGAACGGACGAAGATGTCAAATCGAGAATCGGAAAGGCGAGAAACACATTCATCAACCTGAAATCAATCTGGAAATCTTTGTCACTCTGCATCAACAACAAAATTCGGATTTTCAATACAAACGTCAAGTCAGTCAGTTCTTCTATACGGATCAGGAACTTGGCGGGTCACAAAGAATATTTCCAACAGCCTGTTGCAGACCTTTATCAACAGCTGTCTTCGTTCTATACTGAAGGTCAGATGGTCGGAAAGAAGCACCAACAAGAAACTATGGGAACAAACAAAACAAGAACCAATCGCTCAACAAATATGCAGGAGAAAGTGGAGATGGACTGGACACTCGCTGAGGAGCCCGCTGGGTGACATCGCAGGTCAGGCCAACGCTCGAGTGGGACGTCCAAGGGTGACATGGAGGAGATCGTGTGAAGAGGAGTTGAAACAGTATGGACTAACATGGATGCAGATGAAAAGTGCAGCAGAAGACAGAAACAAGTGGAGACGTGCAGTTGAAGCCCTTTGTTCCACTAGGAACCCAAGGGAACAATAATAATAATGATAATAATAGAAAGGATTAGCAACTAGGAACTCTGGGAACAGACCAACAAAGAATCGATGGCTCAACAGATATGCCGAAGAAAACGCAGGTGAATAAGACACACACGCTGAGAAGACTGTTGAGTGACATCATCATGCACCAGGTCATCGAGTGGAACCCGAATGGAAAACGACGAGTTGGGCATCGCTTCGAGGGTGATATGGAGGAGATCGTGTGAAGAGGATAGGAGAGTTTATGGGCAGTCGTAGAACCAGCTAAAACCGACTGCAAAAACAAGGCGGAATGGAGGTGTGCTGTTAACTCCCTATGTTCTGCTCAAAAACCTAAGAGAATAATTATATTATAATAATACCGGTATGTTAAGTATATATATATGCCTTCATTCTTTGACATTAATATTTTACGGATTATTTTAAGAACACTTCATTTATTTTACACTGCCTCTTCACTTGTAGTTTATTTTTAAATTTTGTTATCCTGATTGTATTTTTAACTCCTAAACACCTCTTCAAACAAGCTCGAATTCACCTTGAAGAGTACATTCCGACTGGAACAGTTTATGACCAGAAATAAACGACATACATATTTTTAGAAAAATCCAACTGAAGGAATGCAATGAGAAGTAACAATATCTCTATGCAGAGGATGTGATCTATGCAAAAATTAAAAACTTACGTAATTCCAACTGAGTGGATTTTATCTGTTTTGAATATGGTTTATTTTTGTAGATTGCATCTAAGATTTTCTCTTTTGCCTGTGTAATCGTATCACAGTCTAGCACTTTAACACAAATACACGGTGTTGGTAGATCAAATAAATGCTGAGGATCTTCAACGCATAGTATCTATAACATGAAGTAATGTATATATATTAAATATGCAAAAGAGAACTTTTAATTTTCAAAATATATAATTATATATACATATATACAGTTCAAGTAATACATACACGGGCTTATATACAGAAAAAAATGAGAAAGGTATAAATGCTAGGCATACACTTACAATCTGGTTTCCAGTCAATTCTGTTTGCAATAAATAAGCACTATCTAGTGTATACCTGGCTTTACCAGTTATTGCATCACGTGGACCCATATTTATCCGTTGTAGAAGAGCTCGATAAAAATAAAACAGATTTTCTCCGACATTGTTCTAAATAAAGAATTAAATAAGATTTTAAAAAGTGTGTATTAAGGAAATGCAGCACATTTTATGACATTATTAGAACGGTTAAACAAGGTTTGATTATTATTTTCCATTTCATACCGAATGTGGACTGACGAGAATATCAATGGTGTATTAAAGATACTGTGCAGCACATTGTATGATACCTCAAGGCTGTACATCATGATAGCTCAGGAAAAAATGTATAAACAGACTTCAGGTGAATGACAGGTTCAGTCAACAAGAACATTCATCCACCCATTCTGTTACTACATGTATCTAACCACTGTCATTCTAAATTAATAATAATAATAATAAGTGAATAGAGATTAATCTTTGAACAGACAGATAAATCATACTAAGTTATGAAGTCCTAGACAGTCAGTTTAACGTGGGTAAAAAAGCAACTGCTGGTTTTCTGAACAGCATAAAAATAGAACTTAAAACGATCGTTAGAAGCTTCAGCTGATAGGACTTAAGTGTATTTATAGTCTATGCTCATTTTAATAGCCGTAATATCTTTTTCTATTCATCATTTTTAAACTTTGACATAATGAATTTCCATCATTTTTGATTAAATTACTTTTCAGTAGTTGGTTTGTTTTACGAGTTGATCACGGAGTTTCCTGGAGTTCTAGTGAGAAGTCGTGACCAGTGAGGTCCATCCAGTCAAGTGTGAGGATGGATGTCCCACCGATGACATTAGTTGGTGCCAGTCACGCTAAAATCACTAATTCGTAGAACTTAGAATTCATGGGCTGGTCATTGAATCGGGTCCCAGTGACTGAATGGTATACAAGCATGCCTTGTAACCAGAAGGTCCTGTGTTCAAACCCTGGTGGTGGGTGCGTACTGCCGATGAGTCCCAAACTAGGACGGTGAAAACAGCTGTCCAGTAATCCCTGGTTTTCAATGGTTCTCTAACTGATATCAATCCGTGATCAACTGGTAAGAATTAAATTACTCATTTTTCTCCCCTCATTTCTTAATATTGCTTTCTACTATTAGAGCTGTTTAGGTATTGCAGATCACTAGAGGATAATGTCAATAGTGTTACCAACAATTATTCTCTGATATTCACCTTCATTTCAGGTTAGGTGTGTTTAGACAAAACAAGAACTTTAAACCTTTAAAAACACAGGCACATTTAAAAAACAGCTCTGAAATTTAGATATACCTGGACTGAGTGTTACGTAATAATACAAGGACCCAGTTCGACTGAATAATTATAAATTTATTAAACATGATTTTAGAAGGTTAAGAACAAAAAGCACTTATCAAAAGCATTTTCCACAATTCATTGGATAGACCCTTAGTTGTCATGTTCTGATGTTTGCTTTTTAAATGAGTAAATCTCGAATGTTATAATTTTCGTAACAAACCCCTTAGTGTATTCAAAAATAAGTAGTATTGTAACCAAAGTGAGTACATTTGATAAACAATTGTTTGTACTCATAAGTTATTAATACCGAGTTGAAGTAACTGTACGCTTCAAAACAGTTAATAAAATCTTTAAAAAAAAAACTACAGAATACTGCTTACCTTGATAAACTTATATAAATGAAACGTCAGCCAATTAGATAAAATTTTATCTACAATTTTTTCAGAGCGTCGGAAAGCAGTCACCAGATAACTGTCTCCTTGATGATGAAGTTGATATAGAACATCGGACATTAAATCAAACATAACACTGAAAAATAAAAAACATAAAGTGTATAGATTATTAGAAAGAGTTGTTTTTCTAAAATGTAATAATTTTAAGTCCTCTCTGTTTGTACATGAAATTAAGCCAATGAACGGTTCAAAAAAAACGCCAAGAAGCAGTTATGAAACTATTTTTCAACACTTTCTGTAGCAGTCTGTTCTCAAATCTGTGAAGTGGAAAACAGTCATTTTTTAGTGATGAAATCTTGGTGACAGGCATAGATTTTAAAATCTATCTGCTATTCAACGAAGTATGCCGGTTAATTGAGACATAACCATTGTCGGTGTACTAAATAAAAAACAAGGTTCAAGTCTAATTAAGGTACACAAATCAGCTAATAATAGTGCATAGGATGCAATATGAATAGTAACATTGAATAACACTGAATTGCTATAAGATCAGAAATCAGTGGTATAATAATAATACATGTTTAATGCAGACATTTCCGTTTTCTGGCAGAATAATGAATTCAATCATTTCAATTAAAACTACTGAACAAAAAGATAGTTTTCATTCATTGGGAAATACAAGAAAACTTTTATTACAATGAATGTCATATACCCAATGCCCAAATTTTTTTCAAACTGTTAAAAATGAACTTGGTTTAGACATATATAACTAGTGAACTATATAATGATATTTCTACTGATTGACTGCTATGCATCCTTTGAGTTCTATCCAACTGAATTTCCCAGTGTTGTTCCGATCAGATTAGATCGTTATATATTTTACTGTATTTCACTACTACTTCATCTGCTGATTGGTATTAATTAAGGTATCTGAGCGTATATCAGTAAGATAAAGCATACATATGAACAGCGTTGGTGGTTCAATAGTCAGGGGTTCGATCCCCGGACGACACACTCCTAAACCTCACTTAGCTGACAGTAAGCCTGGTAAGGACAGAAGGTTGGCCTTGAGGCTAGCAACCCCACCCCATAACAAAATATCACTGTTACTGAAATTTCAAAGTTGAATCCAGAAACCCTGTGTTCCACTCGGAATCCAGAGGGATGAAAAATATGACACATGAACAACAAGATAAACAAATGGTTTCAGTGTTCAAATTGTTAAAAAATAGTGCAAATATTATTATTATCATTACTATTTAACATTAAAAGGTTTATTATGAGTTAACTAGATGAAAAAACTAGCTGACCTTGTCAAATAGTCCATTTTAGGCTGTAAAGCTATGCTAAGCAAAGAGGCAATACGCGACTTGTCCTTGGCCATTATATGTTCATCTTTTTCAATTAAATGAATTAACAGATATAAAAATTGACGATTGCATAGAAGTATATGAAATAAGGAAATAGCCTTCGCTGCATCATCATGTGCTCGTATATTCACCTATGGAAATAGAAAGATATAAGCAGAAATTAATAATTCCATTTTATTTCAAAATCACTTGAAGGATAATTAGAAATAAAGAAACAATACAAAAATGTTTCGTTTTTTTCCTGAAGAGGATGAGGGAGGGAACTTTAAAGTAGAAACTAATCACCACCCTAGGTGGTTTGATGAGTACATTATGATATAGACGAAAAAAGTTTGGAATCCAAAAACTCATCTTTACAAACTTCTGGGTGAAAGGAAAATTGAAAGAAGGATAAAATAGTTGCGTTCCACTGGCTGGCAGATTTCACCATTCGTGGCAGACAAATGTCATATTATTCCAGACAGGAGAAATTCAACACACTGTATATTGTGTAAAAAATGAAAATATTGCATAACAGCAAAGCGCACAACTGTCTCAGGTGGTTAGCAATATAGACAAAACTTTTTAAAGATTTTCCAAACAAAATACCAAATTGAAGTTTCAGGAGGACAAATAAAATATCTAGCTAAAGAAAAACCAAACAAAATTGATGTCTTTGAAGACAGACATTTTATTTTATAAAACTTGTTTGATCTGACGAAACTAAGGCATCTACTTATCAACAGACGAGTATGTTGTACAGTGTATTATACTTTGTCTGACTCAATGTAGAGCATTTTAAAACAGAAGACAACAAGAAAAAGTTACATATGTTTAGGTATGCCTGTGTTTTGTAGTGTGGCAAGAAACGTTGTTATGTGCACGTAAAAGCATAGTGCTAGGTAATGACAACAACAGATAGATTGATAAATTTAAGTAACCTACCTACCTACCTAGTTTAGAGTTAGCTGAGATATGAGCTACTTAGTCTGGGCTACACACCTTTAATTATGAAAATTTTAAGTGTAACAGAATTAAACGGAGAGAAAACAAAAGAAGATAAGATAACGACACGGCACTAATCGATATAATTTCTGAGTTTTAGTTTGTAGCCAGCTGTGTCAAGTTAAACAGCCTTCCTTCTCCCACCCACCCGCAACCCCCCAAAAATATGGCTCAGCAGCTTTAATATGAATGGGGATCAGAAGTGTCAAATCATAATTTCAACGATACAGTAAATCGTCAAAAGAACAGAAGTACAATAGACACCTCGAAGAATTTAAAGATTAATCGGTATATTATGGGACATTTATATCTCTTTAACTATACAACGCATTCCCCCGAACATTCGAAGACATCATGTACATTGTGTATATCATACCTACTCGAATTCTTTGATAATACTTAGGAAAACATACACTGTATAGTAGTACTAATAGTAGTAATAGATGAAGATAATTTTAAATTTAGAAAAAACAACAGATTGAGTGAAGGAATATATTTCTTTTCAATTAGTTCCTTATCATCGGCTGGCTCTACACCAATATATAGTTTTTCACATCAAAATTTTTACCAATTAGATGGTTATTTCAGCTTATCAGTTTCAGATATAGGCGGGGTTAAAATCAAGAGGTTGAAAGTCATCAAAACAGTTAACTAATAGATGTTGGTGAAAAGATATTTAGGTTTTGAAAGAGGGGTGAAAAACGATTAATTACGGAATTCAAGATAGGCTGATTCTTAGGAGTTAGTAACAAGTTATTAGATAATCAAGAAATTTGTAAAATAATGATGACTAAGAAGAATAGGATGATTCGGAAGAATTACACAAAGTACAAACAAGTTAATAGAATTAACGAGAATGGTAAATAAATATGATTAAGTGAAAAGGTAGTTAGTTACAAGGGGAAGGCAGAAAAATCGTTTTTAAAAACTTAATACATATTATGTACTTGGCTATGGCAAAGAAAGAGGCTGTACAAATTTCTTTTAAACACGCAGATTTGGCTTGTTCAGATGAAGTCTGATTGTTTCTGCTGTATGTAAAAGTCGTACTCGTAGACCATGCGAGAGGTCGGGTGATATACGATAAATAACTGTAAAAGCTTTGTTAGAGTCGATTTGATGTTCATTATCGAAGAGATGAGCTAATATTGAGCTGCGTATAGCTTTATTCGGACCTTTGCCAAACCTAGACAGGAGGTGTTCAGAAATTTGACTATAAACTTGCTTGATCGTAACTAGCTCCGAATGAGCAGTTAAACTGGTAAATTCACATGGACGAGGCGAAACAGGGCAGTCTGTCTTTATTTCTTGAACTAACTATTCGTTGGCTAGTGAATATACACTATAGCTTAGCTGCATTGTTGATCCTTTTGAAGGCCCTTCTCAGACGTTGTGATAAGATCTCACTACTGACATCACCCGTGAATTGCAACCTTAGGAAGACTGATTTTGGGGGAACAGTGGTCACTTTCAACTTTTTTACTTTCTGAGTTCATGGGTTTTTTTCACGAATTTAGTTGGATATCTGTTTCTACTTAGTAGATCACGAATATAACTGAGTTCTTCGTTCAGTGCCACATTTGAACAGACAACTTTAGTCCGGTGAACCGGACATCACGTTTGTATTTTAGAGGTACGAAACTCACGAAGTGGGTACATTGTCCAGTGAAAGTAGGTTTTCTATGCAAACGTCTGTTCGTTTAGTCATTAGGACGTCCAAAAAGCAGATAGAGTCATTTCCAAGTATTGGTTTGTAGGGATTTGGTTGATTGGTTACAGGATTTCATCATGAGCTGACATCGGTTAGAGAACCATTGGAAAAACTTGGAGTAGTGGACAGCTGTTTCGTCCTAGTTTGGGATTCTTCATCAGTACGCACCCACCAGGGTTCGAAACCAGGACCTCCCGGTTACAAGGCTAGCTAGCTCGTAGACTATCACGCTACTGCAACCCGATGCAACGGCCCATGAATACTAACTTCTGCCAATTCACGATATAGCACAACCACTAGCCAATGTCTTCGATGAGTATTTGTCCTCACACCCGACCTGCTGCACCCTATTGGTCACGACTTCCCACTGGAACCCCAGGTAACTACCTACCTGAATAGGGCCAGTCGCCAGTGAGCATTTCATTGATATTCAAGTATTGGTTTGTAGGGATTTGGTTGATTGGTTACAGGATTTTATCATGAGTCATTTTCTTCCTCATCTTTAGTGAAGTGTATACCATGCTGTGGTTTATTGAATTTATCCAATACACAACCTTAGTCTCACTTTCTTCCATTTAAATTTAGCTATATTTCAATGATGCCTGAAAGGAAATTACTATCTAAAAGTCTAATGAAAGTTGCCAGTTTATCCAAACATCAAGAATGACGATACTGTGAGAATAATAAAACGAAAATTTATATTAGAAAGCGTATTTTAATGCTAATAAAACACAGAAATCAATTTTTGCAGGCAGATTTATTTTCAACCTGACTTATTAAAGCACTTACTGTAAATGGTAATAAAAGAGGATGAGGTGGTACTGTCGAAGATGATATGCATAAATCACCTGATGGTCTACATATATCTGCATCAGTTGACAGTGGGAATGAAGAATGCGGATTGACTGGATTCATCAGCTCACAATGGTATTCAGGAAAAAGGGAAAACAGACAAAAAGTTCGATAATCACGGAAAGGTAAATTATGCCTTTTCACTTCTTGAGAAAATTCTTGCATACTTGTTTGCAATTCCATAAAATCTATTATTAATAAAGAAGAATAAAGAAAACAAAAACAAATCAAAACACAGAGTAATGACTTGGCGTAAAGTATAAAGTAATGCCAATTAGTATGACACACATACCTCTTAACCATTATTAAATTGATGTAGACAATTTATCAAAATCACGTGAACTGTAAATTATACATTTTGTCACGATACTGACACACTATCGATGCACTTTGAAAAGTAAATGAACAATACTTTATGTTACATTTCTTTCTATTTAACACTGGTTTAGTTATTATTCATAGCCAATTAAGATGTACACAAATATATTGACATTGAAAAACGATAGTACAGTGTATTCAAATTCATTTTGGTGACAAATAAAAAGCATGACTGATATTTTTTTATAGATATTATACAAATGGTGGGAAAGAGCTTTCTTTTTCTCGTCAAATACATTTGACACTTACTAACTGAATGATAGATAAAGATGATGCACCAAAAAGGTTAGCGAAACTTTGTTTATCGATCGACAGATGACACAGACTTCAAGACGCAGAAGGAACAACTGGTAGACATTTAAACAACGAGTATCATTTAAGTCTATCATCACTCGAAATTTAATACAGACTGAAACGGAGGTACGTTTGCCTACGACCCTGGAAAGCACTACCACTTAATGTCTGTTGTTGTAATTCAGACATCCGCATAAAGTGTAAGTGAAGTCCGAAAAATATTTCACTTCCACTTACTTGAGTGAGCTACAACATCGGTATTGGTGTTGTCCTACTAGGCTTTAAAGTAGTCAGTCATCTAAGCTAAGAGTTTCAAATGAAGCAGCAAGACGTAATTGATCAAAAAACGATATAACTTGACGAACAGATGTGATACAATAAAGGAACAAGTCTATCTCCAGTTGAATCACTTTTTAAACCTAACCAGATATCTGGGTAGCCAGTGAAAAGTCAGTTATGGTAGAAACAGCAATTCTCAATGCAGTTCAGATGAAATGGCATTCAGGGCCGGGAAGTATAAATGGACAACGGTAGAACATGTAAAAAACGTTAAATCCTCTCCATCTTGGAACAAGATCCTACTAGTAAAACACTGCAATCTCCTGATAACATTTTGAAGTTAGTGAATTAATACGAATAGGTGATTATATAACAGTTTTGCAGTTTTCTTGAGAGGAAAGGTCGAAAAAACATTTGGGCCACGATCGAAAAGCCTCGTGGTCACATCTACGTTACCATCATAATTATTATTCCCATGACTTCGGATTAGAAAAAGGATCTTAGGAGGACATCTCCATTTCACTTTATTTTCTGCAGTCCTTTTTAGCTGGCTTCACGTTTGCCCATACATAGGCTTTTATCTTCTCACATCATGTCCTTCATGTCACCCTCGGACGACCAACTCTTCATTTCTCATTCGGGTTCTACTTGAGGGTCGGTCTCCCCAGTATATCTAATCCATCTCTCTTTCCTTCGGCACATTTGTTGAGCGATATGTACTTGGTTGGTTCATAGTCAGAGTACCTTGTCACAAATCCTTTCCAACTAAGGCGGGTGTTGATGAAAGTCTGAATTCTGTTGAAAATGTTATCTATAGGTTATAACGTCACATTATTGAGCGATCGCTTTTTTTTTGCACCGGTTGTGTCATTTTAGTACTAAACAACGGAATGGCCCGAGAAGAGCGTGAACGGATGAAGAGACAGGTATCTAATATAACTTTTGAATACAATAAAACGGTTAGACAATGCATTATTTTTGTCGATTAGTACAATGATATTTATATGATGATATACTGACTGAAGAGGTTAGAATGAAAGTTTAAATAGTGGCAAGATTGAAAAAGTAAACTACGTCGAGGTGTGGTAACAACCTGAAGAACCGATTCTTCTTCATAACAGAAAAGGAAAACAGGGCGTTCCAGCTTGTCAGCTAACAAATAATATCCGATTGAACATTAGAATTCATATTTCCATTTTTTTCCATGAATGAAAATTCATGAGTTTTTGAAACTAACTTCTCGCTGGACAGGTGTTTCCTATTTCTTAAACCCTTATATTTTATTATTATTTCCATTGCTTTGGTTCTTTAATTTCAAGTAGTTTTCATCTTACTACGCCAATCATCAAGTACGAAGGTTGGATCCGGTTGGCTGAATTGCATGAAGTTATCTTCCATTGGTTTCTCAAATCACTATGACTTCTACAACAGCCTTGTCAATGACTAATCAATAAATAATACAAGTCTCTTTTCTTTTCAAAAATGATTACTCGCATACTTCTAGATGTCCCAATCTTGTAAGACTCTACTTACAATATACACTCAGCAATAAATATAGTGCGAAGAAATTCAATGAAAATATTTTGAGCAACAGTGAATATGTGATCTGTTTCTCTATACTCAGGCTGTAAACATCCATATAAAATGAGAGTTTATATCTAGAGTCCTATGATGAAGAAAAAAATAGTTGAAGATACAGAATGAGGAAAACAAAAATTTGCGGAAAAACTGGATGCAGTGCTCACCTTCTTTAAATATACGTATAACACGGTTTTCATGTTCTGCATATTTTTGGTGAAGTTTAGCTTGATAGGATTTTTGACGTCTGATAAAACGTCGCCAAATAACAAAACCAATAAGGCCAACGAAAATGAAAATAACTACAAGACCAATGAGTATCATGATAATTTGACTACGTAAGGCTGCTTGACGTAAAGCAACGAAACGAACAGAACCAGGCCGATAAATTAGGAAACGTCCAAACTGTAAAAGTAATAAATTTACAAAACTATTAGTCATACATATACTTCATAAATAACTCCAATAGAAAAGAGTTTACAGAATAAAAACAAATCATAAATTGTCCGAGATTTAATTAATTCAGTTTTAGATTTTCCCGTCGATTGATTGGACCGAAGTGCTCGGTCTCAGGTTGACAGGTTGGCTTCTTGTGCAGATGCTTCGACGATGTCTGGGCATGTTATTAGAAGTTATTCATTATAATAAAGGTTTTTATAATTCCCAATGAATGAAAAACAAAACGATATTGTTGTTACTGACGTTTCACCATTTAATGCTAATAGCTTTATCAAAGTATCATTAATAATCAGAAGTTAACTGGTGGATGGTGGCTAGCAGTGGAATCCAGGATGCACATTTCGTCCTATTTTGAACTCGTCATCTGGATGTGCCTGCATTCCGCAGTGAATTAAGCAATTATTATGACCCGTTGCACAAGAGGTGACTCTCGTGTCCCGAGTGGTCTAGTGGATAACGCTTTGGCGTTTGAAACTATGGGCACTGGGTTCGGGCCTCGGTGGGAGCATCATCACTCACTGAGGAATGCAGGCACATCCAGATGACGAGTTCAAAATAGGACGAAATGCGCATCCTGGGTTCCACTGCTAGTCACCATCCACCAATTAACTCCTAGATTTAATTTGTAGGGATTCGACTCAATTCTGACCACTCATTGATGTCAGTTAAAGAAGCATTAGAAACAAGGGAGTAATGGATAGCTGTTTCTCCCTAATTTGGGACTCCTCATCAGTACGAACCCATGAACTCATTGGGGATCGAACGCTGGACCTTCAGGTTATGACGTCAAGCTCGTGGATTATTTAGCCACTTAGACCGGAGTCCAGTTCCCCGTGAATGCTAACTTTTATGGATTTACGATTTTAGCGCGATCGCCAGCTACTGTGTCATAGACGAGTATTTGTTCTCAAACCCGATCTGGTGGAACCATTGGTCACGACTTCCCACCAGAACTTCAGGCAACTTCGTCCTGTAGTCATTGATCTAATTCATAAAACACTTCACAGAACTATCGGAAATCCATTAGAAAACAACCTAAAGACTAGAAACTATACATTTTAAAGAAGAAAATATGTATATTGGAGGCAGTACAGTTTCAGGTGTAATGAATAGCAAAGTAGAAAGACAATTATTTTAAGATCATATCAAAGTAGACCAATATACAATAGTAACTGTATTTAAGGGAAAGTGCAAAGAACAGCAAAAATATACCAAAAATTCAAATCCACTATGAATAGCAAACAAACACTATCACCAAGCTCACTATAAATCGGTACACATACGTCTTCTATCTAAATACATGTCACATATTTTTGAGAAACAACGCTAAGGCATAAAACAGATCAGTCAGAAAAAGAGTTTTTAAACACGTGATTCACATCACATGAAAACCAGACGTCTAAATCAATGAACGACATATATGTATATACATACAGAGAGTGGGTGAAAAATTGATCAAATAATGAGTAAATTCAGTGCGTTAAAAGTGAGTCATCTTAAACAAAATTTTAAGTGCATAAAAGGTCATTTCACTGTCGTACTAATTCTTATATAAGATAGGACAGATTAACCACTTCAACTATAGGCAAACTATTTGTGAATAAATATTCATTTTGTCGCTCTTATTTTAAAGTCGTTGATGTGAGCAGATTTCAATGAATTCAGTGTGTACGGTTTTACAATGCATTGTTAAACAGTCAATAATGTTAACAATATAATGCAATTCATGAATAATAATACACACAACAAAACAAGTAAGTAGTTCAGAGAAGAAAATTTACCGTGAATTCATCTTATCTTTAGCTAGACAATCGCATTTATGTACAACTTTTCATAAAAGAGGATACTAACCAAAGTGATGAGTTGTTAGTATTAGTCAGTGCATAAGAAAGGTTGAATAAGTCTGTTCGAGTTACGTAATAAGGTCAATAATCCCATGAATGAGCTGTAATCAGGATACGTATAGAAATGAAGGCAAATGTGAAATTATGTTAGAGTCCTAAAGAAATATGAGGATTATAAAGAGTTAAACATCGAACAGACAAAAAACCAAGTTAGCAGAAATCAACCTGGATTTTAGCATGATGGTAGAAGTGGTTGAATAATTTTCTTTTATAAGGTTATTCTTCACTTTGTGGATTACTTTGTTAAAATGGAATGATTAGTAGTGTTGAGATGTTCAGTTGTCGCACTCCTTATAGAGCCACTGCTACCTTTCAACAACCATGCTGGATAGTGATCTTGAACACTATCTTGAGCACAGAAACGGGTGAACTTACATATGCACATAGAAGCGGTTCAGGTGTCAGATGTTGTCCTCCAGGCTTCTGCAAACCAGTGGACGATTGGAGAATACTACTCTAAGCGTTTCTGCAAAGAATGTTCTCAAAGATGATGAAATTCTTCTCTTAAGGATATCGCAAGTCAAAATAACCTGCCAAAGATAATAAGCTCGCGCCTCCTTTGTACTGCCGAAGTTCTAGACATTCAGACAGAGAAACCGGAGCTATGAATACAAAAGAAAACTATTCAACCACTCCTATTATCATGGTAAAAACCAGGTTGATTTCTGCTAATTTGGTCTTTGTGTGTTCGACTGTTAGCTCTTCATAACCCTCATATTTCTTTAGGACTCTAACATAATTCCACATTTGCTTTCACTTCTATACGCATCCTGATCACAGCTCATTCATTGGATTATTCATCTTATTACGCAACTCCTTTCCTCGACGGGCAATGTTAGCTGATATAGGGTCAGGCTGGAAAAGAGCTAGCGGCGGTCAAACCAAAACATGGCACCAGTCAATGAAATCTACAACAGTTAGTCTAGGTCACGTAGGAAGGTGAAGACTTCCTGGTTGGGGTCCCCTGGACGGTAAAAACCAATGGTTGGAAACAATTGGTGACATGGCTCAAAATCGTTCTCAATGACTGGTGTAGATGCATCCACTCCTTGTGACTTATGATTTCCAACTAAACTGTTTTGTTCTTCGTTATTACTATTCCTTTGTCTCACACCTCTGTTTACTGTCTCTAATATGCATTTCCCCTACTTTCTTCTCTTGCTTTGAGTGCTACATGGAGTGTGGCGACTTGAACTGCCGCACATATGTGCAAAGTTCTATGTCGAAAACAGACAGACAGACATAACACAACTCAAACAGACTTATTCAACTTTTCTTATGCACTGACTAATACTAACAACTATAATTGATGATCACAACTCATCACTTTTGTCAGTGTATCCTCTTACATGTCCAGCTAGAGATAAAATGAATTCGCGGTAAAGTCTCTTCTCTGAACTACTTACTTGTTTTATTGTTTTCATTAACAATATAAATTCTATTGGATCTACTGTATAAATTCAGGTATAAGTGAAACTGTCATTTCACTGCGGTATTTCATATTTCAGCTAAACGTTGAATAATAATAATAATAATAGAAACCTTGGAGTTATTGATAATGACAAAATTATTAAACTGAACATGGCTAATCTATGTATCAAACAAACAAACAAAATAAGATTGTCATAATAGAAACACTCTTTGTTTCTAAATTGTTTGTTTATGTTGACAATAAATGATTATGATATCACAAAATAATAAAGTTCAAATATACACATACTACAAGGTGTATAAAGGTAAATTCCAATTAGTGTAAAAGGTGTGCAAAGTTTAAGCCAGAGAAAAAAACAAACAAATCGTATTTCTTTCTTTTTTCTTATATATAAAAACAATATAAGTGAAATAAAGCGCATGTATGAATGCAGATATACATATGTGACATTAGTCATACGCATAATGGTACCCTAGTGATATATATATATATACTTCAGCAGTTAGAAGATTGAAATCACACTAAGAAAATTTTTAAGTATACAATAATAATAATAATAATAATAATAATAATAATTCATTGCTGTAAACAAAAGGGTAAGATGTAAAATCAGATGTGTTGTAAACTAGTGTTATAAACGTGTTAGTATGTACACAATTCAAATCAAGTTCAATCAAACAAATAACATAGAAACAAATACTAGACAAAAAGTCAAACTTATCATCCATATGATAGTCAGTCATTAGTAATCTAACCCCCCCCCCACCCCCCCAATCTTGTCTAGCCTTGATCAATGTGTACAGTCATTTAAGCTAATAATGTATTTTATTTGGATATAATAGAACATTCAAATAAAATGACTCTAGTATGGTATAAAGTAGTAGTATGAAGGGAACAGAAATGCGCTCTGAGTTACACTTCATCACATCTAAGTAACAGATGGACTGTATATTATATTTAGACCATGAAGATATGCATAGGTATTATATATTTTATTCGACTGCACTTCAAGGGACAATTTTATAATACGCTGTATTATTATTATTATTATAATATTATTGTTTCCTTTAATTCCTAGAGGAACATAGGGCTTCAACCGTGCGTCTCCATTGCGTTCGGTTCTCTGCTAGAGTCTTCACCTGACTCCAAGTCTGCCCACACGTTTTCATCTCCTCTTCACATGACCTCCTCCAAGTAACTCTTGCACTGACGACCAACTCGCCGCTTCCCTTTCGGGTTCCACTCGAGCAATGGCTTCTCTAGTGATGTCACTTGATGGTTTCCTCAGAGTATGGCCAATCCATCTCCATTTCTTTCTGCCTATTTGTTTCACAATCGGTTCCTGGTTAGTTGGCTCCCAGAGATCCCTGTTGTATAGGCTTCCATAAACGACGTGATACAGCCGAGGATGGGTAGATTTCGGTCTTCCTCTCGAGTTTACAGCCTTTGCCAAATGAGTCCTATTCACTCCCTTCACGTGGTGGAAGTGTTCCTCACAAAAGTGAAATGACGAATGCGAACGTCTGGTGCTCACAACCGGACTGATGGACATGAAACTCTATTTAAGGGAGCTAGAAAATCTCTGACTCCAAACCCAAAGTGTACATGGG